GTCTAAAGCAGCAGGGGAAGTGGGAGGGGTAGGGGAAAGGAAAGAAGGGAAAAGAAAAAATATGAGAAAAGGAAAAAATGGAAATAAAGTCTTTGCAAATAGGGAAGGGTGGAGGGGGTAAAGGGCAGGGGAAGGGGAATAAAATAAGAACCAAGATACTCATATAATGGTACAAGATCCCAGTGACAAATATAACTGTATTTTATACCTAAAATGTACCAATAAACTTAATGGGGAAAAGAATAATAATTATGCCCTATTCCACAGAGTACTAAGTTATGAGAGAATATTATTAGTTCGGAAATTGTTTTGTAAATTATGAAACACCTTTTTCTTGCTATATATTTTTCTTCTCTTTGTTGTCCTGGGCAGTGAAGCCAAGACATCTTCAAAATGTCATACCCTTTTACTGAAAACTGGATGCTGCCTTTTTTTAACCTTCCATCAGCCTCCAGTCTGTAACCAGTTGCTTTTCCGAAAAATGCCTGACCCCATTCTAGGCTGTTCCCCCCACAGACAGGGATATATGCAGTCTGCTTTCCAGAAAAATCAAGGAATTTGTGAGTCACCAGAGAGTGAGGCTAGGCCTTCTGTGCCCAGGCTCCTGCATCAGGAGGGCAGACTAGGAAGAAAAGAAAGCCTGGCCTACTAATCCAGCCTGGGTCTGGCCTATCACGGTCCTATTATAATGACTATTATTTGTGAATTGAGGGACTTAGGCTATGAAATTTTAAGTGTTTTGGTTGCAAAGTTTTATGACAAGTATCAGCCTATTTTTTAAAAGATCTTTTAAAATTGTCTTCAGCCAAGTTATTTTGGAAAATACCTCAAACATATGACATTGGCTCTGCTTTTTTTGTTTTTTGAACATCAGATCCTGGCTGTTAACCTGTTGAAAATTTCTCTATATCCGTTTCCAGGGTCTGTGCACTAATCATTTCGACCTTCTACATGAGATACAGAATCAATGCTCTGGAGGAGCGGCTGGGACCACTAACCTCCATCATGGAGACCCACAGTTCTGGGTAAGATGGCTCCCTACCCTGCTATCGCCTGCTGTTCGGATGTTCTTAATAGTTGAACCAAGCTTAGCAAACATTAACTGAGAATACACTCTGTATGAAACCATCAGTTAAGTGTATATGTGGAAAGTGAAGAGGTAGGAGGGGCCTAGAGGTGAACAACCTAACCCTGCTGCTACAGTGTCACTGGTAGTTAGGCAAGGAACACACCTAATTGTACATTATCTTGCTCTCCCACCCTAAGATGCAGTTGGGACCTTGGCCTATTTCATTGAACCATATCAATTTATCTTTATAAAAATGGTAGTGAGTGAGTTGACTCATAGAAAAGAACCAATTCAATTAATTCAGCACAATTCAGCATAAATAACTCTGCATATTTACTTACAAAACTTTTGACCACTATAAAGATTCATGTGACTATGTCTGTGAAGACTTTTCATCAGTCACATTTTTAATATGCCTGACCTAATTAAATCTATTCAGAGAAAGAACAAATAATATCCTTTCCTTTAAACCCATTTACATGAGGATTTTGGCACACTGCCTAAAAAGTAAAATAAAATCTTTATCTCATCTTAGAAAGCATACATTTAGCTGGGGATTTAGCTCAGTGGTTCCGCCACCTGCCTTGCAAACGTAAGGTCCCAAGTTCAATCCCTGGTACCCCCCCCCAAAAAATAAAATTCAATAGAAAGCATACTTTTAGTTCCTTTTAAAACCTATATAGAAAACTTACCTTATGCCAGAGACTCTTGGAATTGATACATACATGTACAAACACCAGCAATTTTCCCTCATTATAGTTTCATCATTCCCTTATAACAGCTGCTATTCTCATTTACAAATGAGGAAACAGACTCAAATAATTAAGCCAGGCATAGTGACACATGCCTGTAATTCCAGCACTCAGGAGGCTGAAGCAGGAGGATCACCTCAAGTTTGAGGCCAGCCTGCCTGAAATAGCTAGACTATGTCTCAAAAAAAAAAAAAATTTAGCTTAACGTCTCACAATATGTAGTAAAACCAGTATTCAAATGCAGGTCTACATAACTGCAAAGACCATGAGTTTCCCAGCCTATCAGTGGCTCTCAAAACTAAATTTGCATCAGAATCATCTGGAGGGCATGTTAGAACAGACTGCAGGACCCACCCCAGAAGGTCTGATGTAATTCATGGGGGGTTCCCTGGTGATGCTGATGTGCTGGTCGGGGCTCTGCACAGTAAGAACTACTGTTTGACGCCATTCGGGACCTTTTTTATTTTTCTGCCTACATTACCCAAAGGCCTTGTTCTGCAGCTTACATGTACATTGGCAGACAGGTTAATTTGGAACCATAAATACACATTTGAAACAAATAAAATCTGAAAACCTAATGCATAGTTTGAAACGGATTTATACCCTGCCCTCACTCTCCCATCTTCTTTAAGTGTTAATACAATTAGAGGTAAGAGGTGAGTGCAGATTATTGCAGATTGTCAGTTTGCTATCACATAAGGATGTGGTTTTATTAAAAAAAAAAAAAAACCTGGTCGCACAGAAAACGCCGAATCACCCCGCTGCAGACAGGCAGGTCTGCCCATGCCCTACCGAGCTCCTGAGCCACACGGAACACGCCGAATCAGCCCGCTGGAGACAGGCAGGTCTGTGCACTCCCTACCTAAGTCCTGAGTCACGCAGAAGACGCCGAATCACCCCGCTGCAGACAGGCAGCCACCTGATTCCAAACTACAAAGACACAGAGGACACCAGACCACCAAACCAAGGAACTGAGACCCACTGTTCCTGGCCCAGAGGTAGGGGCTTCTGAGCCGTCGTCCCACTGCTCCTGGTCCAGAGGAAGGGGCTTCCGGGCCACCATCCCTCCCGCTGCTCCCGGCCCAAAGGGAGGGGCTTCTGAGCCACCATCCCACTGCTCCTGGTCCAGAGGAAGGGGTTTCCCGGCCACCATCCCTCCAGCTGCTCCCAGCCCACAGGAAAGGAATTTTGGGTCACCATCCCTACCACTGCTCCCGGCCCCTGTCCCACCTCAGCAAGCTCAGAGGAGGTAATCCGTGCAGGCGCTAACAGCCCCCCGCCCCAGTTGAAATGAGAAAACATGTAAATAAGTCTCAAAATCAGACTTCCAGATCACCTACAGCAACCCCAAAGGGAAATGAGATGGAACACTCTGATACT